GTCAGGGCTGTGGGGGCAGGGGGAGGCTGGGAGGAAGGGCAGTCAGGGCTGGGGGCGTAGGGGTAGGCTGGGAGGCTTAAGGAAAGGTAGTGGAATGATGGGAAGGGAGGACATTGGCCCAACTTATTCTCCAGCACAATCTCTGGGAGCCACAGCATATCAGAAGGCAAGCGCAGGACACTGATGTTCCCAAACTCCTCTGCGTTCCACTGCAGTCGACTGTCTGTCCAGCCCTGGAACCCCAAATAAATGTCAGCAGGGCTTCTGCTGTGTGCAGGCATCCCACTTTGCCCTGCCCCTCCTCGTCCCCAGGGCAGCCTGGACAAGCCTGGGGGAGGCAGGCACAGTGGGGATGCAGCTCTCTCTTGCACAGCTATACCACTAAGGGTGCCCCACTGTGTCTGCAGGTTGGTTTTACTGAGAACTGCTGACTGACTGCTGGCAAAAGAGTCTGCTGATCAGTTCAGGATGCTGGGATGGCTGGCCCTAGATGAAGGGTCCTAAGTGGCTGAAACAGGCCATTGGGACTGATGGTTGCATCGGGTAGGGAGGACAGCTGGACTCGAGGATTCTCTGTTGGCAGCAGTCAGTTCCCCCTGGCCGGGTGCCCCTGTGGAGGTGGGCACAGGGGAGCAGGGCTCCATACCCCACCCTTGCTTTTTACATCTCCTTACGTGCTCGATCCATACATTGGTGGTGAGGGTCTCTTCAACTTCTTTCTGTAACCAGATGAGAGGGTCATCTTCCAGGGGTCTTCACTGCACACCATGACTGGATACCTATTCCCACTGGCACCAGGGGAAACCATGGCAACCAAGCCTACCAGACCCCTGCCTGTGGGTGCACTGACCAGTGAGCAGGAAGGGCAAGTGGCCTCCGAAACCTGTCCTGGTGTGGTATGGGGGACGCCCAGTTTTACTGGCACAGTGGGCATGTTTCCCAGCTCTGGGGGCTGGTGAGACTCTGTGACCATGCCAGTCCTGGAGCCAGCAAGCTTTGAGGGTCCCTCCCCACCCCGCCTCAGGAGGGGCTCTCACCAGGGAGATGAGGTTGGAGAGGGTGAGAGTCAGCGAGATGTTCACACTTTCCTCCACGTGCGCCACAGGTCGGAGCTCCTTGTTGTAGGCTTTTTCCTTGAACAGGTACCGGATCAGCCGCTCCTCCTCGTTCAGGCTCCAGCTGCCTGGGAGGACAGGGACCAGTCGCTGGGTAGGGGTCCAGGAAGGGAGCTGCCCTGAGCTTCTGCTAGGGTCTGACCTGTCATAGGGAATGGCGCAGGCAGGGCTGGGAGAGGGGGCCCTGTGGGGGGCATGAGGGCCCCCAGGGCGGGTGATACTCAATCTTACTACACACTCCCAGGGTGACAAGCAGCCCCAGCGTCAACACCAGCTTCTCCATCCTGTCCCTCTGACTGGGGCCTGTCCCTCTCATCCTGTCCTTTGGGGTTGGGAAATGTGGGTGGGAGGAAGAGGGGACAGGTGCAAGTGGGGGTGGAATCAAGGAAAGAGGCCACCGGAAATGCAATCTGATACCTCTAGGCTTAAGTCTGGGGAAGAGCATCCAAGGCAGGTGACTTGGGGGTGGGGACAGGGACTGGCCAGCCAGCCAGGAAGCCAAGATCCCCGGCTAGGACTCCCCACAGCTTGTGGTGGGGGTAGGGCTGGATGGAGCCACCTAACAGACACTAGGGGCATTGTGGTCAGCTCTGAGTGGGGGTGGGGTGATAGGAAGGCCAGCTGCTACCATATCTTAGTTTCTGCAGACAGCTGTGCTCAGATGGGGGGCTTGGCAGCCCCTCTTCAGCCTCCTTGGGACTCCTGCCAACTGTTTTCAGAACTACACTTGGCCTGGGCCCCTCCCCAGAGACTTAATGTCCACCCTACTGAGTTCCCATCCCAAGAAAACTTCAGAGTTTTCTCCATTCATCATAAATAATGTTTATTAAAGCAGCTGTCCTGGTGTGGTGCTGTAGGATGAATAGGTTGGTAGTTCGAACCTATCAGCTGCTCCTTGAAAATCCAATACAGGATCGAAGGAGTCAGAACCAACTCAATGGCACTTCACACCACCAAAAAGAAGCATCTGTGAATCTCTAATCACACACATGCAAAGATAGACTCAGCTCAGGACCCCACAGCTCCCCCTTCACAGGGTAAACTCAGATACATTCCGATGTCCCTCCCACCCCCAACACCTCCCCACCCCGCATGCAGCCTGTAACAAGAGAGTCAAGATCCTTGAACCAGGAGATGGATTCCATCATGGTTCATGGTCGCCTGGCTTGGGAAAGCCTTGGGCTAGGGGGATGGTGCCCCTTCCCCCTCAATCTGTTGCCCTGCCTCTTGATTTTCCAGGGTCCCTCTGGCTGTCTCTCTGCCCGAGCTGCCAAGCAGAAGGCCTGGAGGATCTGAGCCAGCAGTCGGGGGAGGCTTCTCCGCAGTGTGTCTGGTTCCAGGCCCACAGGGCTACGGACGACCAGGCGCTCCCGGTCAGCATGCACACAGGTGTGGCAGAGTCCACTCAGTGTTTGGGAGCCCAGGTGGACCAGCACCTGCAGAGGGAAACCCAGCGCCCTACTCCACAGTTAGAATTCTTGTCATCCCAATTCTCCTGGTTTCCAAATCCCAAATCACTCACCCAGGCCCAGTTCACACCCCACTCTCACCCCCACAAGACCACCGCTCACACCTCCCCTCC